GAAATAAGGTTGTTGCAACTTGTGGGGGCAAAGAAAAGGCCAAGCTTTTGAAAGATTTAGGAGTTGATCGAGTTATTGACTATAAAGAAGAAAACATCAAAACTGTACGTATCTTGGAGAATTTTGTTGTTTCATTTCTTACTTTGCACTTGCATACGTGGTGGGCAGAGAGGAAGGATGTGGATGTGAAAGGTGAAAAAACATAATGCACTCTAGCACATCAAAGCTTGAGTTTTGCTTTGGGTTCACATACAATTGTTTTATTATGATCTTGTCCATTACTTTTGATTAAACCTGCACAATCCAAGCTCTCATGTTTGTGTTAGGAATAATCCCGTGCTTGCTTTCTTGTCCTACCTTTTTAGAAGTCGTGATATGTTGGATATACATGATCGTCATGCCGCTATTGGGGGACCACTGCTCAATTAAGCTCAGTCCTATTAAATTTTCCTTTTGACATTATCAGAATATATGGCTGTTCTCCTGGTAAAGAAGCTTGGTTGAAAAAACACAGCTGCGGGAAGATATTTCAATGCTGTGACTCAGAAATAGAACTCCAATAATACAAAAAGATTCCTAGGATAGTGAAGAAGCATTCTCTGTAAACCTTAGGTTCTTAACTCTCATACTGATTCATCTTTTCTTTCTTTTCCTTTCCTTTTTCTTTTGTACTGGACGGAACCTTATCCTATTGTGAGTTAGACCATTGGTTGATTAGATATAAAATGCTTCAGAATTTTGAAGTTTCGACCTTCAGGCTCTCTCTCTCTCTCTCTTTACAATATGACACAAGTTGATGTGTATTTTATTTCTTTTGCACACAAAAATATGAAAATCAAGTTCCCCAGATTCCAGAATATTTTGCAATAATAATATTGTCTGACTGCCATGTGGCCATAAAAATTGACATGGTTTTCCTAGTTCAGTTCCAGAGTAGAACAAGGTCTCAATATATATGTCACCTAACATTACATTTGTGCATGCTGGGTCAACCTCTTTTCTTTTGTAAAGGAAGACGAAGGGAGTCAATTGTTAACAAGTCTATAGTTGGTCTTAAATAGAGAATATTAGGATTGGTAGATTAATTACGTTGTGCTATGTTAGGCACAACTATTAAATGAACAGTTACCTAAAGGTTTGTCGTTATTTCTTAGTCACCTATAGCCTTGAATTATAGAGAAATCAAGAATAGGTGCATTACTTAAACATGAAATTTAACTAAGATAAAAGTGACATACGTAAAAGAGCCATTAAGAAGGGGATAACTGTTGAAACTTGATAGATATGGTAACATAAAACAAGTACATAATAACCTACCAGGCATTATAAAATCAAAGCATGAGGTTCACACTTGGAAACTGAAAATGGACTAAGGGTCCTTCATGAGAGGAAAGCCTTAAAACTTACTGTGCATGAAGTTCCACATCAAAATATGAATCAGAAGAAAAAAAACTTCCATGATCAATCATAAAGGGGGAACTCCAAGGTTATGTTATATGGAGATTTTCTTGACGTACTGCAAATGGATGGCCTTTTATTTCGGGAAAGGGAGGGAACAATGGATGTCTATACAAATGCTTAATTATTCGAGTTTTTCCATTTGACAACAATATAAATGCTTAAGATCTTCCAGTATTGCAAGCACGTTCTATTTGTGTTTCCAGGTACTAAAGGCTGAGTTCCCTGAAGGTGTTGATATTGTCTACGAGTCTGTTGGTGGTGAAATGTTTGATCTATGCTTGAATGCTTTGGCAAAATATGGACGACTTGTCGTGATTGGAATGATTTCTCAGGTTTGGACTTGATTCTGAACATATATAGTATGTAATTCAATCTGTTGGCATCAGTCTTGATTGACCATCGTAAATTTAGACTAATACATAGTTCAAAGGAAACAAATTTCTTTATCATTTGATTCTTGATCTTCAATTCACTTTTTAAACTTTTGATAACATATTCATCTGGTTTTAGTATCAAGGAGACCAGGGGTGGAAGCCACGAAATTATACTGGGTTATGTGAAAAGATTCTGAACAAAAGCCAGACTGTAGTAAGTGATCCATATTTTATACATTTTACGTGTTAATCATCTGTTTTACTCTGATTTTGTTGCCATCAAAAAATCGATTGGTTCCCATTTTCCATTTTCCTTGTTAATACTGTATATCTTTGGAGTAGTATTTGGCTTTAAATTTAGCAAATAGTGTAGTTATGTTTTCAGACAGATATTTTTTAGTTCACGTTTTGTAAGAATGAGCACTAATACTTGGTTGGGTGATTTATTAGACTATTAGTTTTCTGAGGATGTTCATTATAGATTTTTGTCCTACAACTTTGCTCAGTATGTTGATCCCAGTCTATCATCGTTGTTTTTATCTGCCTTTCTACTGCTGTTAATGCTGTTATTGGAATATGCTATGATCTTTATATTTCCTACTTTTATCAAATATTAGTCTGTAGAAGTTCATTCCAGCAGCCTTTTGATTTTGTTGCATAAATAGTAGAATCTCCATTTCACCTAACGAGTCCTTAGCAAATTGACCTGTGATCAAAGGCCAATTTTACTGGCCTTGTAAAATTGTCTTCCAACTTAATTTACTCCAAACTGAATGGCTTAGTATTTTGAGGAAATGATTAAATCCATATATTTCCCAAAATATGACTTGTTCCTGTGCACCGTCGTTGACTTTGAACTTTGTTTTTGTTTCAAAAATATCTCATCATTGAATTACGAGCACGTGATATTTTTTTGTCTTGTGCAATTTTAATGGCTTGATGCCCAATGTTTTCAGGCTGGCTTTTTCTTAGTACAATACGCTCATCTTTGGCAGCAGCATCTAGATAAGCTCGTTGATCTTTACTCCTTGGGAAAGCTCAAGGTATAATACATTTGCTCAGCTCTTTTTGGTTCACATATGCTGTGCAAGTTTCATCAGAGTCTCAATTACTGGACTCACGTTCTCATAACCTACTGACATAATTATTCTTGGATCGGATTATTAAACTACTTGGGCCATCATGTACATGTTTGGAACACATATTGGACAAGAGCGGACAATATAATGAATTATTAAGCTATTTGGGCTTATGCACGTATCTTCACGAGACTTGCTTTATCTCTGTATGACAGGTTGCTGTCGATCCAAAACCATTTTTAGGCGTTAATTCAGTGGCTGATGCAGTTGACTATCTTCATTCTGGTAAAAGTGTTGGCAAGGTATTCATTCATTATCACAAGGCAGTTTCTTTCACTTTCTAGTTCCTTAAATTTTTGATTGCTGTATCGATACTTTAATATCTTGATTGAAAAATTGCAGGTTGTTGTGTGCATTGACCCGTCGTTCAGTCAACAATTGGCAAAACTATGAGCAAATATACCTCTCGAAAACTTATTTTTTTGTTTTCAAGAAATATTTATAGTTGCAAGAATTACTAGATATGCAATTTAGTGTGCCTCTTAATAAAAGGGAATGAGAGAATAATGCCAGTCACTTTTCTACTTGATATTTTTATCGAGTATATGTTTGATATGCGGACTGGATTTTATTATATACATTACAATATATAAGATTTTAAGTTTGGTTCGTCCTTATTTGACTAGACAGCAAAATGAAAAAAAAAAAAAAAATAGCTTCATTTTCTTTGGTGTATGTTTAGCATATTTTAACTTCATATTCTGCCTTAATACTGTCTTATTAAAGCTTGACATCTATTATATTCAGCTCATATAATTAATTTATTTTATAAGAAAAAATCATACTATATGATAATTTCCCAAGAAATCTAAAAAAAAGAGGATAATACATGAATCACCAGTAAGGTAACTCAAAAATTTCAACCGAGTTACAGTGCCAAGGAGGGTGTCACACCCTCCCTGACAGAACACACATTGTGGGGAGGGAAGTATTTGTTTTTCATTTTTTATTTCATGCGGGTCTCATACTCATGTGAGGTTAGGTCAACCAGGTGGACAAATCAATTCCGGCAAACTAGCTTAATTCGAAAATTTTATATATTATGAACCCAAGCCTTCCGATTTAAGCAAAAGATTGCCAAATTTAATTCGGTCGGGGAAGTTGGGGCAAATACTACCGGAAAGTTTACTTGGGGTAGAACTCACCCTTATAATTAGAGGATTAATATCTTAATTTTAGAATTATAAACCGAAAAAACCGTCAATAATTCAATAAAAAATGTTAGTACATCTTAAAGAAACTAATTCTACATAAACAACGAAAAGTAGTAGTAGAAAATTATACACGGAAGAATTTTTTATTTGTTTTTATTTTTGGATTAATATGTTTAGACCTACAAAAGGAAGGGGGAAAAAATGGCAAGCCAAAACAAACTTTAGGGCTATAGTCACTTGCATACCCTACGTGCCAAATAGTCGTCTCCTAACTAGAATATACATTAAAATATCCCAAAATTTTATCATATTACTTCTTTCTTTAATCCTATGTCATCCAGACGTTCCCCGAGAATAGAGTTTCTAGTATTTTCTAGTATTATACACCACATATTGATTTGATTCCTCTCCCCATATTGATTATTTCCTGTTTTATTGCCTAAGAGGAAAAATACATGTAGATTTACATGTTGTTTATAAAATACATAAAAGTCTATATCACGAAC